GACAGGGCTACAAATTGCATGCTTTTATTATGATCTAGTTTGACCTGGAGAATGGTCAACAATGGAGACGAAAGTTATGTTAGTGCATGGAAGACAAGCAGACGCAAGTTCTAAAACATGCTTCAATGTTTCAACAATAACTTGATCTGTAGGCATCAGATTTGGATGATTCTTAAAACATTGGAAAGATTATTTTAAGACCTACAATTAATATGTTCACACGTTTCTAGATTCAGAAGCTAGCATGTTCTATTTTTGATACCTTTGCGCAACTTGTGGGAAGGAATCCTAATTTCATTACTTTCCCACAACCCTAGCACTATTTCACCTAGAACTGAATTTCATTCTCCGATTTTGTATAGGATTTTTCCCATTACTTTCCCACAACCCTAGCACTATTAAAGGATGTCTTAAGGTATTTTTAAGAGAGACTTTTACTTTAACTTGGAGAGAATTGGAGGCAAGGAGAACAGATTTACCTAGTGTTTCATCTTTCTCTCCTGTACTTCATGTTTTTGAAGGGTTTAGGTCTGATTTCCTTATGATCATGTGTAACTAATACCTTTCTAGGATCCAATGTAGCCTAATAAGAAGGTTTTATGTCTTTATTAATTCTATTTGTTTTATCAATCCATTGCAATTCTAGTTTTATTCATTGTCCTTTATTCAATTTTGAATTAATGTTATTGCTTGATCACCTTTAATATTAATTAATTGATTGTGTGAGACAAGGTTAGACTACACGCCCTAGCTAATCTTGATTAGCTCGTGTGATAAATGATTAGTATTTTGTGCATACGCCTTGGCAAAATGCAAATTGGTTCATGATTTCTTGAATAATTAGTATTTGTGCTGATAGATGCACCTTTATTCATAATTTCGAGTGCTCTTGTGTTTAATGGGTATTTAATCTTTAGGCTAGACTATATGCCCTAGCTAGTCTTGTGTTAAAGATTCTAGGTTAATCCCGAATGCCTTACAATAATACATTAATTATGTGAGTGCAAACCCTAGAAATTGGATTAAGATAACAATAGTTTGATAGTTGACATAAAACTAGATTATTATGGTGAAATTGGATACCTAGGTTTTAGTTCATTGGTTCTTAAATTAGTTTTTATTGGTGTTATTTAGGCTTAGTTAGTAGCAGTTAATTTATATTTTCTTTTTTACATTTAGTTTTAATACTAGTTCTTTAATTTGCTTGATTTAATTTGTTTAATTAAGGCATAGTATATTAGGATTAATTGAGTGCTTACAAATCTCGTGGGATCGACCCTTGCATGTGCACACTATATTGCAATTGTGATTCGTATACTTGTGAGGATTAAAATTGTTCATCACCATCTTCATCCATTTTTTGGTGACCGTCCAGCTTCCACCTCCGACGACCATTTTCCTTCTTCAATGGTCGGCCTTAAACTAACATTGTAAGTTAATTTTAAATTTTAAAATGTGCAATTACTATCCTGCCCTTCATTTTTATTTCACCCCACCCAACCACCATCACCCTCACCATCCAGCCACCACCACCACCCACCAAACCCACTCGACTATCGTTCAAGCCCACTTTGGCTTGTTTCTGATGCTGATTGACCAACGTAACATCACCATCAGGATCCTCTCATCTCCCTCTCCAAAACCCCTCCACTTCCAGCTGTCCTCCCTCTCCAAAACCTCCACTTTTGGCTCCAAGTTGCAGTCTATCAAGCTCGATTCTGGCGGTTTTTTGGCTCTAAAATCTCACCACTCACCACCATTAGTCTCTTCACTTCCTCTTAAACAAAATCCCGACTAGCACTGACCATCGTTGCTTCTCAATCGCTGGCTGCCACCTCCTACAATTTGCAACAAAACCACCCCATTCCAAACCTACTTGAAATCAATCCAACCCAAAAAACAACACAAAAACACTTCGAAAACAATCATAATCAACCCTCCAAATCAATCACACACCTACAAACTCCTTGTAACACCCTGAATCGACTTCCAATTAAACCTAATTTTCATTAAAATCACAAAACGCTAAGGGGAGTGACAGACAGCAAACAGGGCAACCAGGATTGGAGCTATAAGGGGGTTTTGAGGTGGGATGCCGGTGAAGCTATTGGTGGTAATGGGGTTGATTTCCGATGCGAGAATGGCTGAAATTTTGCTTGAAGCCCATGAACAACAAGATAGAGGTGGTCGATGAACAGCAGCAGCAAATGATTGAAGATGAGAGGGGTTTTGGAGAGGAAGATGAGAAGATCCTGATGGTGGTGTTGGGTTGGTCAATCGGCATCAAAATTAGGCCAAATTAGGCTTGAACGGTGGTTGAGTTGGTTCGGTGGGTGGTGATGGTGGTGGTGGCTAGGTGGTGAGAGTGAGGGTGATGGTGATTGAGTGGGGTAAAATAAAAATAAAGGGCAGGATGGTAATTGCACATGTTAAAATTTAAAATTAACTTACAATGTTAAGGGTGGGAATATGGAATAAATGAAACCAAGAGTATGAACTTGAGATTTGGCTAAACCTTGGGTGGGAACACGTCGTTTGCTCTTTTTCGAAACAAAATCACATCCAAATCACACACAACGACCTTATTTTTTATAACTCTTTAAATCAAAAGTAATTGTATTCATCGAACACAACAACCTTATTTCATACCTCAATCGCTCATTGATTTTTGGTTTGTGTCGGAATTATTAGCTGAGACTCAAAGAGATAATTTAGTGAATTCAATTGTTATTGAATTGATTATAATTGAATCAGCATTGCCTATTTATACAAAAACTAAGCCATATAATAAGGAAATATAATATTGTAATAATATCTAAAATCTCCTAGAATAAGGAAACATAATATTGTTTCACAATTAAGGAAACATATTATTTGCATTCCATTTTGCACTTCAACACTCCCCAAACCTGTGGTCATAAACCACAAGCTTGCATAAAAGATGCAAATGTTGGTGATTATGTCAGAGTTTGAGCTTTGGCTGTTTGCCACTGGAAAACATAATATATAAATATCACATAGCAAAAAAATGATATTGCCTACTATTCAATTGTAATGACCTAAATGCCGAACAATAATTTCAGTTATGGAATTATATGAAGATAGATGACAAACCATATATCATTCACAATTTTAATTGGTTAAGTTTTGCTTCAATACCAAATTCTATAGAATGGTAATAAGCCATATGCTGAACCATATTTTTAAGTAAATTACCTAGGTTTCAGTTCAATTGTCCAAGAACAAATGTAAAATTGGGTTGGTTTTAATGTAATTTGGTGAGAAAATGAACATTAATTAAAAAAACATTATATGAAATTATACCCGATTTTCAAGCAAAACTTCTAGACCATTGGTTCCACATTAATTATCCGTTCACAAAACATTTCAATTTAATAACTTATTTCGATTAAATGGGTATGCATTGACATGTAATATTTATATGAAATTAATATTCTTAATTTCCTTATTATTTATTCTTTTGATTATTAATTGAACGTTAAATTAAATACTATCACAAATATTTTTTAATCTATTATTTTAGTCAATCTTAGCATACTATTTAAATTGTATAATTTTCAAATCATATCAGTATATTATATAGTTTGTAATTAATATAATTAGGAGATTTAGTTGATTATTTTCGACCTAAACAATATATATACCTCTATAGTAGATATCAACCACTTCAAACATCCAATTATTCAAATAAGCGTGGTGTCAAAACCAATTTCATAAGCGACCTGCACAACACGCTGACCTTCTACCTACTTACTAATAAAATAGATAACTAGGAAAAGCATATCAACTTTTAGGATACAGAGACTCTCAAGAGTACTTAATTTTAGGAATTATCGCAAAATCAAGTTTTAACAATAGATCGTTTTTTTTTTCTCTTGCGCTCTGCTGCCGGTGTGCTGTTTGTGTGATTGTCTGCCCAACTGCTCCCCAAGATATTGTATGCGCTGGGGTCTTTTTCAGACTACTAAGAGTTGTAGCCAGTGTTCTCCTTTTCCTTTTGCAGGAATTTTGCAGCTGTGGTTCTGGGTTTTCTCCTGTTTGGGGCTCCAATCCGTGCTGGTTTTTTGCTTTTGGGCTGCTGGGTTTGCGCTCCTTTTTTGTGGCTTTTTTTTTTTTTTTTGGTGTACAGCATGTGCAGTTTTGTTTTTTTCTTTTTGGTTTTCCTGAAGTCCTGCAATGTTTTTTGTGCTGCTGGCCTTCTTTTGTGTAGACCTCTTTGAGGCTAGTTAGGTGGCTGTTTTGGATTGTAAATCCGTGCCTTCCTATTGTTTTTGTTTAGATTGGTTGCTTGGGCTTGTCCATGGACCTTGATTTCGTAAGGATCCTCTTTTGGGGGATTCATTCTTTTATTCTTTATAAATTACCTTTACCCAAAGAACAATAGATCATTTTTTATTGATTCATAGCAAAAAAAAGTATCGGTCTCGTTTACATTTCCTAATTTGGCAACAAGGGTCAAGGGAACTATACTTCTGTAGCAACATAAATATTAAAAGGGTTCGAGGTAGCAACTTCTGTAGAAGTTTCTTGAACTGGAGAAGGAAATTAAGCTATCAAATATTCATTAGATTCCTCGAATTAGGGCATTTGAACCAGTATCAAATAAGGTATATAATAGAAATAGAAATAAACATTTGACGTTTTTTTTATATATATAATTTTTAAACTGATGAAAACTACCGTTCGTCTTGAATAGTAAGATCACTTGTTATAAAAATGACTTTGTGAAAAATAAATTGAATACATCATTTATTATAATATCCATCAAATATTAATATTACAAGCTCTGTTAATCTTTTCACTCCCAAATTATTCCTTGGACCACAGAAAGCATTCGACAACCTTTTTTCGTTATTGTAAACAAACAAAAACCTTTGAAACCTTCAGATAAATCACCCACACCCAGGAAAAAAAAAAATAAAGAAAACCAAACAAACAAAACAAACCACTTTATTATTGCACGCATGGTGAGAACTGGGCTACTTCTTGAAATGAAAAATGGTGGTGCAGTCGTAGACGGAGCAGAAACCTTCAAACATCTCCAAGAACAAGAACAGAACTGCAGCCACGAATGTGAGAAGCTGCCAGTATTCGTAAACGTAGTTATTCATGAATTTTTGAGCTTTAATCTTCCACTTGCCATTGTAATACTCGTTAACACTCTTGATTTCTGCATCCAAATCTTTTACCTTTTTCTTCTTCAGAGACCTGCTCATTGTATTCCACATATTGGCTGCCTCTTCGTCGCTTTTCATCTTGTTACGAATAATGCTCCGTTCCTTCAAAAGCTTCACATCACCCGCAGTATCGACAATCCCATTCATCAACTCAGTGTAACGTGTAAAATACACTGAGGCCGATGGATTCGATGCTTCATACGCCACTAAGTTTCTCAAAACCACTTCTGTGTTGTCATCTAAAGTGATGGGAGGGAGCTTAAATATAGCTATCTTGGAATCAAATTTTATGTCTGTGAAACGTTCTCCTTTTTTAATGGGAGAAAAACGTACCCCGGCTCTTTCAAGTTCGGTGGCGGACGGAATGTCGATCTCCGGTGGTTTACTATCATCTTCCCAACTTGATTCCGTTTTAGACAGACTATCTGAACCCAATTGAAGCAGAAGTGTGACAGGATTAACTATCAGACTGGCTCGCTTGGGGAGTTTTAAGATACTAAGCGCGCTTTTAGACCAGGACAGGAGCTGACCAGTTTTTTTTTTTAACTCAACCGGAGATCTGCTCTCCGGTTTCTGTTTATCTCTAACACCATCATCTTTAGTATTATCATCATCACCGGCTGGCTTGCGATGAGATATATCGGGTAGAATCGTGACATACATGTAGTGGAGCAGGTGGTGATAATGTTTGCGTCGTGAAACATCAGGCTGTTCGCTATCGGTCAAGAACTCGAAAGGGCAAACCTTCTGAAGAAAGGCATACAACAGTTCATACAGCGCGCGAGTGGCCGTGGCGGGTGCTTCTTCGTTTGATGCTAGTGCTCCTGCATTTAATGAGTATAGAGCATGCAGCATCTCTTCCAATATAATCAGCGGAATTTGATTCTCAAGCATCACAATATCTCTTAAAATGGCACCCCGAGCAGCCGAACTCTCTGTATACTTCTGCACATTTTTAATTCCAGTGACTAGGAAAGAGATAATTTGTCGATCTCCAAGAAGCTGCTGACGATCATCACCCTCCTCGATGGTAATTTCCCACTGAACTGGAGTACTTTTCTTTATTTTATCCTGCTCTAGCTGCTTCGTTGCTTTCTTCAGCCAAATCACTTGAAGGAACTCAAGCAAGAATGCTGAATCTACCGCCATCAACCAGGCTAAAGTGTCCTCTTTAAAATAAATGTACCTTTGATAGCGAGCGCGAATCTCCGATTCGTGTTTTTTAACGAAATTATCGACAACATATTTGAAGCTACGGCGTTTGGGTAGATGTTGTTGGAAGTTTTTAGCGGCGGAAATCTTGTAACCCTCCATGTCATGGAGCTCTGGGCGCCAACAATGGTTCGGGCCAAGCGAAACATGTTGTGGAGTGTAAGAAGTAGGAGAGTTATGCATTAGGGTTTTGGGGACAAGGAAAATAGTGACATCAGGCTGATTGGCCGGTTTGTGGAGACTTTCTTCAATGTTTTTAATGACAATATTGACCCAACGTTCCTGCTCATCCATGAGTTGAGAATGAGGGAACGCAAATGTGGATAAGCTTTCGAGGCGTTGGGGGCGTTGGGGGGTACTACGAAGAGCCATTTGTGTTGTATTTTTTGAAAATATTTGGTTAATTTCAACTGAGATTGGTGAGTGTTTTATAGGTAAAAAGATTTGTAAGAAAGTATTATTAAAATATTATTATTCACTAAATCTCTACTTTATTCTTAACTTGTTGCTGATTAAAAAAAAAAAAAAAAATACAAAATATTCTTATTCTTAACTCAAAATGTTAGCAAGGGTCCAATGTACATGTTAGTGGCTTCTTTTAGATAAAAATTATCATTAGCTTAATAAATAGTTTATATCCGTACTTTATATAACTATTAATCAAAGGGGTACTATTAATCAAATGATTAACCACTTGTGTAAATTTTTGGTTAATTTCTTTCTTTTTTTTATCATCGAAAGCATCCGGATTAGCTTGTACGCATCTTAAATAATCTTTTGGGGTTTTGGAATTGTTGGCTGGGTAGGAGTCCTAATGACCACCTCTATCAATGTCGATGAGGATTTCAACTCAGGAGTTCATGAAACCTTTTTTTGCTCTTTTACTATAAGGTCACTCAATGGTGACTGATTTTTGGTTAATTTTAACTGAGACCGGTGAGTGTGAATTGGGAAAACCTTCCTTTTTTTTTTTTTTTTTTTTATAGGTAAAAATCTTAATTTCAATCATCATTCTTGTTTCAGTCTTTGCTTTATTCTTAACTTGATTGCTGGTAAAAGAAATTAAAGTTACAAAATATTATTCTTATTCTTAGCTCAAAAATTTTGGAGCTGTCCAATTCTCAATGTCAGTTGCGTGTTTATTTATTTATTTATTTTTAATTTATATACACTTTAAGCTCTCTCCATATCTTATTATTCAATTATTAATTCAAAAATCATCACTGGGTGGCCTAATGGTAAAAGAGCAAAGGGGTCCAATATGGATTCCTGCGTTCGAGTTCCCACAAACCCTAATAGGGATGGTCACTAAGGAGATTTACTTGGTTGTCAACTTTCGGAGGATTAGCTGAGGCGTGTGTAAGCCGATCCAGACAACTTTGGTTAAAAAAAATCAATTATTTAAAAAATTGTGAACCCACCACATCTTTCTGTCTTTGGCAATATATAGATATATGCTCCTTACCTGAATTAAATATATAATGGGGAAGGTTAGGGAACATCTTTTTTTAGCACAAAATATAAGTCATTGGATTAATGCACTTTAAATGGTTGAGATTCAATATAACTTGAATCATTAATGGATCTTGTACCCCCCATTTGTTTAGCTTTTCAAACCCTATCCCACCCTACTATCCTATTCAATCTAGTGAAATACATATTTGTTTTAATATTGACTATTCAATTCAAAATCCAATCCTATTATATTCAACTCAAAACATTTAACAATTACTTTTTTCAATAAAAGTTTATAGATTAACAAAAACACTCCCACCCATCCAACTATTGTCGACAGTCAGTCAACACTGCCAGACGGTGGCCGGAATGGCGCACAACTGGCTAGGTCTAGCCAGTCGTATGCTGATATGGTTGTTTTTAGCTAGATCCACCATGGATCTAGCCGAAAACAACCAGATTTACTGCCAAAGATCTGGTTGTTGACGACGGTGATATCTTAGCTGTCGTTTGGCCGTCAACGGCCAAATCTTTGGTCATGGATCTGGTCAGAAAATGCCATATTGGCTCACGATCGACTAGGTCCAACCGGTGCTCCATTCTAGTGACTTCCAACCACTGTTCGACAATGTTGGTCGGTTGTTAGCAATAGTTGGATAGGTGAGAGTCTTTTGTTAATTTATAAACTATTATTGTCGGGGGTATTTAGTTAAATTAACAAATGTAGCGGGGTTAAAAAATATAAATAGTTAAAGAAAATATTTCCTAAAAATTTATAAAACACATTCTCATAATCATATCCTATTTGATTAAATCCTATTCAGAATAGAATGCTATTATAAAAACATAAATAAACAGAGCCATAAATTCCTCAATTGATGCAATTTCATCCATTGAACTATATTAATCTAACGGTTCATAAATTATGTTAAAACTTGTATAAAAAAAGTGGTGTTACCGATCCTTCTCTATAGATGATTAATATAAACATGTACAGATTTATTCTTTTAATCCACAAAGATAACTGAATTTATCTAAAATACTGCATTTAATTATATAATTTCTAAATTAACTTTTGTCTAACTTGAATCTTACATCTTTCCTTAATTGATCAATGAAATAAATTTATGCAGTGACTAAGTATAACTGTATATAAGTATTAAAACATTAAAAAGTATATTCCTGTTATCTTTTCTTGTTATTAAAGTTTTGCCTGCTGATCCCCCACAAGTCATGGAGGCTCAATTAATATAAACACTTCTTCTGAATTTCACGTAACAAAAGAGAAGAGAATAATTTCTTTTAACGTAATTACACTTTCTTGCTATATATTCTCGTACTGCCTCGGTGTGAAATTTACTCACTCTTTATATCTTGCAGATCAAAGTCGTGATATGGCATAGACTATTAAATATATATATTTCTACCACCTAATAAGTATTTAATATCACTCATAAAAAAAAAGCAGCTAATATGAGGGTTTTACTATTAGCCTGTTTTGTTAGACTTATCTATTAAACTTTTCTTGCATCAAATTTGACTCTATCTATTTTTGTATACTAAAGTCCCCTTTTGATAATTTTACATTAGAAATTTTTTTAACATTTTCCTAACCAAACAATTACTAAATTTTTTACAAAAGCTCTACGCATATAAGCTCTGGTCTACTTAGAAGCTCTACTCGTATAAGTTCTACTCTAATAAACTCTTCTTTTGTAATCACTTTACTGAAGTAGTGAAACCATCCAATAAAACAAAAATATGTATTATTAATTTTCAAAACAAACTTTCATAAGTGTTGTTATTATTTTTAAATCATGATGATAGGTGGATGAAAAAGAGATTATAAAGAATTTATCCTGTGTACCAATAAAATTATCATGGATTTAATTAAGAAAAATGTTATCCTTACAAAGACTCATACAAAGAGAGCTACAAAGTGATATCATCTAGAAGAAAAAAATAAAGAAAAAACGAAAAAAGAGAAAGAGAGAGAGAGAGAGAGAGAAATCATGAAAATCAAGTGTGAGGATTGTCTTTGTATGCCCCCTTTATTTGTGTTTTTGTAAAACTAGCATTGCTCTTTAATTAATTATGAGCATTTTATTTTCTTATTTACCCACTTAATGGTTTACCCTAGATTATCCACAAACACACCTGTGAAATTTCTGAGCCAAATTGAATGAAATTAATTTTCAAGATAGCCTTTGAGTTCTTGTGCTGCGAAATGAGCGAGAGCAGCCATAGCGAGCGCTTTACGCTTGCAACATCATTAAGAACAAGAGCAAAATGGCAGCCAGCAACGTTAGAAACTGCCAATGTATTACCCCGTATTTTTTGTATAGAATTTTGTTTAAATTTTATTTTGTGATTTTGGGGGGTAAAGTGTTAGATTTTCAAAGTTTTAAGAGAGCAAAATGTAACAGCCGAAACAAGTGAGGACTAAAGTGAAATGTGTCAGATATTTTGATGAACAATGATCAATCAAAGAAAAGAAAAAGGGAGAAGAAGGGAACGACTGGGAGAAGAAGAAAGAGAGGAGAAAAAAAGAGAAGAAAGAAAAGAGAGGGAAGAGAAAGAAAAGAGAGAAAATGGAGAAAAGAAAAGAGAGAAAGAAGAAAGGAAGAAGGGAGAGAACATAGAGAGAGAGAGAGAGAGAGAGAGGAGTAGAGAACGATGAAGGTGGCTGGAAAGGTGCCGCCGGCAAACAAAACTTTGATGATCGGAAATAGTAGAGGAAGATCAAGCATATAGGAGGTGAGTAAAACTTAAAAATTTCCTCTTTGATGAGTTTTAGTTCAATTGATTTGTGTTGTTCATAATTGAGTACAATGGCATGAGATTGAATTAAAATAGGGAGATTGATTTCAATAATTTTATGTGGGTAGAACATACATGTTATTCCCAAACAAAAATAGGTTAAAGATATGATTTTTGATATAAGGGTTTATTGTGCAAAATCTGTCCATCTGGGATTCTAAAAATTGTTTACATGTTTCGGGTTCCTGATTGAAGCTGAATTTTGGATATTTTGTTGTTGGATTTTTGAGGAGTGTTGAGAAATTGATTTTACTCAAAAACTCGAAGGATTGAATTTTATATGGATTTTTTAAGTTGCTTTGTCAATTCTGGAATTTTCGTTTTCTGCATAGCGTGTATTTTCAGATAATGATTTGATGCATCTATTCTTGTCCAAATTGAGTGATTTTAAATTCTGGTGAATCCTATATGTGTCTAGTTTAATTCTGAAGAGTTCCTTGAGGTTTATATTAAGGGTTGAATTGTTATGAATTTTACAAGTTAGTAACCTCAATTCTTGAAACAGCTGGCAGATTTGAATGAGTTGAAAAAAAAATTGTGTTTTAAATAGTTATTCATTCTAGAATGACTTGAGAAAATTATGGGAACAACTTATTTGTCTCTAGAAGGCCCCATAAAAATTATGGCTTAAAATGATAAATAGAATTTTTATGAAAAATCCAAGAGTGACCAATGTTAGGTTATGAGACAGTTTTGTCAAAGAAGAAGCTAGGTTAATCTTTTGGTGTGTGAAGTGTCCAATGAATTTAATAATGAGGTGTTACCTTAGGGGGACTTACTTATGGAGGATTTATTGGATTTTGTATATAGGGAGGCAAGTGGGGGCATTGTTAGAGGATTTCAATCTTTTTTGGCTTAAGGGTCAGGCTCCAAAATGGTGAGTGGAAAATCCAAACCATAACTTTCATTTTGAAATAATTGTTTGTTATAAACTTCAAATGAGTTATTTTGGTTTACTATTTGCCATAATTTAACGATTTACTTTATATAAATATGATTCATTGCTAATGTTATTGGTTTACATGAGAAATTGAGTATTATTTTAGAAAATTGTTGTTGATAATATAAAACAAATTGGGCTAAGGTGTTATGATGAA